TTACGCTGCATGTCCTTTGACCTACATATCCGCCACCCCAACAACATTTTTTTCCTCTCGTTCCTGGGAAGCTCGCTAAATGGCGGTAATAACTTTTTAACGTTATTATTTTCACCATGGGCGTAAGCCCCGTCGAGGAATTTCAAACACGGCCGTATCGTAATGATTCCACAGCTGTGGCGTACGTAGACTTCATTTATTTTATTTACCCGAGTTTCACACATGCCTTTACTTGCCGATGTACTGCAGAAGGTATACTGGAAAGTTTCCGAAGGCAGGTATGTGAACGTTCAACGAGAAATCTCGACGTCAATCAGTTTGTGTCGCGAGGAGTCGCACAGGCTAGATACAGGGGAGTCTTCGAGACATATGCAGGAAGCATTCCCTTCAGTACATAACGCGGATATTTTTATGTCTGCTTGTGACGGCAGCTTGCGTGCAAAACGCCTTTTGCAAGAGTTCACAGAAGGTAAGCACGTTCTCGCTTGATCTTGTCTCGCATACGTGGGAGCAAAGGGTACCTAATGCATTTTCTACTGTTTCCTAAGGTGTTTTCTGTGGTTTTATAGCCGAGTATTGGTATTTGTACTTTAATAGCATACCTCGTACGTACCGCTTAATGGTTTGTCCAAGCTTTCAGCGTTAACCAATTACACGCTAGATTCAGATACGTAAATAACTAAAATGATTGGTCAAACACTATACATTTTTTAGAGGTAAACAATCTAATATTGAAAATAAGTCTATTATAACGGCATTGTTAAATATTATTGACAGTATATATAAAAAATTAGATGCGAATGATAAAATTCTAGCTTTATTTGTGGACTCGTCAAAAGCGTGTGATTGTGTCAATCATTCATTGCTTCTAAATAAAATCGAACGATATGGCATGAGAGGACTGTGTCACGACTTATTTAGGGACTTTTAACAAACAGGGAACAATTTGTTCAATTTCTTGGTGTAAACTACCTGTAACAATTGATGTTCCACAAGGAAGTGTACTAGGTCCCCTACTATTTTTGTTATACTGCAATGACTTGGAAAGTTATGTACATCAACCTCTTATACTGCATTGGCGAATGACATAACAATGTTAGCTTGCCATGACAACAAACAGGTATGACAACATGGACAAATGTAAATCTTAGATATATACAAGCATATTTTCAAATGAATCTTGTGAGGAATCGAGAAAATTGTATATTACAATTCCACTCCTTACCTTCTAATTATACTAGTAAATATGTGCTAGTAGTCCTTTGGTATCATTGAATAGGAAGTATATAGAACAGGTGATTTGTTTTAAGCTTTTAGGTTTACATATATACATTGTCATGGAAAAATCATGTTGATTAAGTATGTCAAAAATGTGCCGGTTTATACTTTGCTCTAAGCTGATCAAGATGCTACTAGAGTATTTTATCACTCAAATTTCGAATCAATAGCTTCCAATAGAATATTTATACTACAAAAACGTGCCTTAAGAAATATGTTCGGATTAAGGTATTCTGAACCGTGCAGATCTACTTTTGTAACAAAAAAAAAAGTATTAACGTTGCCTTGTTTATATGTGCTTGAAACTTTAAAATTTGTCAAACAAAACATTTCCAAATTCAATATTCAAAATTTCATGATTATCCTACAAGATATGGAACAAATTTAAAATATGGCTTGCATAGACCTTTATAAGTCAAATCTACCAGCATCTATAAAAAGCCAAAATTTTACTAGATTTATAATTTTAATTAAGAATACATTGCATCAAAATACTTTTCTGTGAGCACTTACTTGGCATATAATTTTAAATAGTTTATTGGTTCTTTTCTTTTATTGTTAATAATTATTGTTGGTTTTTTATAATATTTTAATACATAACATATGTTTCTATGTTACTAGTTTATATCTTTTGACGTGTTCTATATCCGATATTGTGATCTACTGGACTAATAAATATCTATCTATCTATTGGCGAATTCTTTGAACGAAAAAAGCTGCTGGAAGCACCACCGATCTGGCTTCAAACTTGATGGTGGAACTTGTGATTCTTAGTGATCATACGTTTGAAGAGTAGATGAAGGGTAATTTATTTACTAGAATATTTGAATTATGCGCGATGACCTGACGATGTACATTGACCTGGAGGAAAAAGATATACTGTTGACTATATCTATCCATCAAGTAATAGCAATTTTTAGTATTTATTCATACATTTCTTGACCAGACAGTCTCTTCAGTCTCTCAGAAATTCTCATGGTTTCATGCCTTTTTTCGTAAGAAATTCCGTAAAAATACATCTCACTGTATACTAGACTGAAGAGCTGATTGTATTCAACACACTGTATACAGTTTGACGCATGTTCCTACGTTTTGAATTTATTTCCAAAGTTCCCTAGATAATCAAACTAAAATAATTTCTTCATATTTCAGGAATTTAAGGTTTCGTAGCAAAGTTACTGATAATCATAATTTCGTGACATTTGGAGTTTCTGAATTTTAAATAATGTTGAATAATGTCAGATTTTCGATAAAAGAATCGTTAATGCGATATCGAAAATAACTTGGAAAAAAATTATAGCATGCCATGGATTCGATCGCATTGTGTATATACATTGAGCAAGTTGTTAGTATAGATTCACTCAAAAGGCACTTTATTTCCTGCTCAAACCAATAAATTTTTCATTTCAGTTGTGGATTTTTAAATTAAATTTCATGAGTTTAGATTTGCCCCAGAAAAGACATAATGTCAAACTTATTTGTCTTAACTAAGTACCTAGAAACCTCCATTTTCTGTTTAATATTTTAATTCAACGTAAATTTCTTACGATTTCTTATATTTCATGTATCACAAATCTAAACTAAACTATTTGAGAAAATCGTAGGTCTGTTGTAAAATAAAATATATTGTAAATTAAATGTATTAGGTAATTAAATTTTGGGCAAAAATGATTTCAACATTTCTTCAAATTGACCTCCACTGACTTCTTGGTAAGTCGCTATTCGGACATTATCAACTTCTTACAACTAAACTTTGAATTTCCCGAAAACAGTTCAATTTTGATATTGGGTACAAGGTAGAAAATACAATAAAAAATTCGCATTTAATTAAAAAATGACAAATAAGTTCATGTACAAACAAATTTTTTTAAAAAAACAATCTTTTAGTGCCACCATGCATTGTCATCCAAACTAAACGTGGTATGCAAAATTTCAGCTCAAACGGTTGGGGATAACTCTTTTAAAATTCAGTTACAAGATTTGACCCATACTAACAAAGCAAGTTAAATAAAAGCTTGTAAAAATGGAGATTTACGGTTAAACAAATTATTCAGAAACATTTTAAAGCAGTCGCTGGCAATAATAGCCATCAGGCAATTCTCGGAAAAAATGGGATTTCCGCAATACGTGTACATTTTTTGGTAGTGTGGTTACCCTAAGTTATTAATTACTAGTTTGTCTATGAAGTTATTTCTTTAACTTATCTTTGCAGCAAATTAATAACTATAGTCGAGGAAGTAGTTCAACTAGTGTATGATTTTTATAAAAATGGCTGAAGCAATTTCATTCAAATTTGGTGTATGTAGCTTTAGTTTCCGATTGTTCACAAAGTATTTATATGCCACAGTTTTTGCATACAACGTCGTACTTTCCGGGGTGAACTTAAATCATTTTCACTCACAATTTTCTTTTTCTTGTAAAGTGTTGCACGGTTGCAAGTGGTATCTAAAGATTACAAAAATATGTTGTTGTTTCATTTCGTCTGAATGCAGATAAATTTTAAAACGTCATACCCATGTATATGCATTTAAAAAGTCCAAGTGTCGTGACATGGATATATTTTTGAAATAATGAAAATAATAATTTAGGTAAGTCTATTTAACAATGAAATAAAATTTGTACCAACATTTTTTTTCTCACTGTTCTTGATCTTAAAAGGCCTGGTACTTACCAGGAAATTTTTTCATTAATTTTCAATGCACTCAAAAACGAAGTCTTTCCGGACATATATCCACAGGAACTATTTTTTTATTATTTTGTGATTCCTAGATAATCGGGTCTTAAAGTTATACCTAGTAACGTAATAAAAAATTGTGGAATTGCGAACTAAGTTTATAGGTATCATGATAAATCCTGTCATCCTTTTCGTTTTGAATTTAAACGAAATTGACATCTCTCGAAACAACTACAACAAGAACTATAATTAAAGAAAAACGCAAAATGTATATTAACACTGAATGCGGCTACCTACATGATTTTTTAATTTCTTTCCCTTTATCGGCAGTACGTATCTACTTTTAAAAAATCGAGTTGATATTTTTATTTTTAATTTCAATCGAGCAATTGAAAAAAAAATTAGTGCAAGTAGACATAAAATCATTCGATTTCAAAATATATTTTGTGGTAGTATAAACAATTTTTACATATTACTTACTAATAGTCATAAATTTAGTATTTAACATTTTTTGCTCCTTTAGAATTTACATTTCAATGTCAGAAGCAAAAAAAAAATAATGACAAACTATTTCTGCAGTTCCTGCTGACATTATATCGCTTTTCCCTTAAATCAATTTTTGGTTCCTCCCTCTCTTCTCTTACTACGCACGTACCTTCACTTCATCCCCATAAATTTTCACCATGATCTATTCGCGGCATCAGTTTAATTTTGGCCTGTCAGCAAAAGTACTAAAATTTCTCCAACGCGTTAAACATATCCTAACTGTCAATGATTTCAGATTCTTAATTAACGCTCGGTAGTAACTGCACAGGTATGCACCGAAAGTACCGATAAAAAGTTGTGTGGAATCTGGAATTATGCTAACTTTTACTTGGAGATTGCTGGTTTCTACGTACCGGTTTCGCGATAATTGCATTTAATAAAAGTCCAAGATCAAGTCCATGTCGCACTTGGTAACAATTAATACCACCAAACGACCTCTATTACATCAGGTAGTGATTAAATCTCGCACTATACACCTAGACAGCGTGAGCCTACGACTTACTGTTGCAAAAGTTGATGCTCGGGTGTTTACATATCCAATAAGGCTTAACTTATCCATACTGGTACAAACTCAAGAGAACTGGGTCATCAAACAAATAATAATAAAACACTGAAAATAAAACTATAACATCAAACACTAATCAATGTTAAATCATTTTTTCCGGGACTAGAGTCCGTGTGTGTCACCGTTCAGAGTTGCCTCTACACGCACTGTGTACTAAACTAACGCTCCAAACACACTGATGAACGCTGCCGAACGGACTTGCCGACTTGGTCTGTAGCCGTACAGGCGGCAGCGCCTCCGCAGCGCGACGGCCGAGAACCGAACTACACCCCGAGTATTCCCTGTTCCCATTCCGCTCCCATCCCATTGAGAGGCTGTAAGTTTAAGGGGAGAGGCAATATCGGAACCAGTGTTGCCAGATATACCATTTTTATGGTATTTATACCATTTTTTCACCTATCATACCTATAAGTTTTTTGAGGATACCATTTTCCATTTTTCTACCATTTTTTGGCTGCAGATACCATTTTCCTACCATATTTTTAACTGTACAATTTTTATGTAGGTATTAACGAAACATGGCACATCACTACTCTGACTCTAAAACACGTAGGTCATGCGTTAAACTCGATTGCTGGATACATATTTGTTTATCTTTTAGTAAACAATTTATAAGATTCTTATGATTTAGCCGAATTATGGGGGATGAAAAAAAGAAACGTGCCCTACGTATGACAAAAAAAA